GTACAGGAGGCGCATGCCAGACCTATTGTACATATTTTTAGTGGTAGGGGAAACCGGAGTACCCGGAGGAAACCTACGCAGACACGGGGAGAACATGCAAACTCCACTCAGAAAGGCCCTGGTCCGACCGGGATTAGAACCCAGGACCTTCTTGCTGAGAGGCGAGAGTGCTATCCACTCAGCCACCGTGCCGCCCCTTGTTTTGTTCAGCACTTTGAATTGCCTTGTGTATGAATTGTGCTATATAAATAAACTTGCCTTGCCTTGCCTTAAAAACATACAGATGAAGATAATACACACAAGTCAGATTTAAAAAAGAAGAAACAGAAGAGGGTCCTCATCATGAACTGTGATTTATTCAAAGTTTGCGTGTTTCCATTAGAAACACTATTACGCAAATTCAAATTTCGCAATGTGATGCTCAATGAAAAAACAGCTTATAATTTTGCCAGAGTGGGAATAAGATTATTGTTGTTCAAATCTAGAATTCCATGCATGTTTTTGAGTGTTGTGATGAAGGTTGAGATAGGTGTAAAATTTACACCACCTCCTGACCTGCTTTATATTTTGTGCGTACGGTACGCTCACGTCCAGATTGATAAATCCCCAAAAGTGTATATCTTTTGCGTACGCCTCATTTACACCCTGATTTGGCCGTATGCAAGATTCATAAACGAGGGCCTGTGCGTGGAAGACTGGGTTCGCAAATGTATCAGTCCTCATCAAGTGAACCGACTCAAACAGACTTATCTAAAATGAGAAAACCAATGCTCGAAGACGCTTCGCATGTCATTATTCATTCACTCCATACACAGTAGGGATAAACTACTACTGCAGCCCTTGCTGCCCTGGGGCACACTGACTGAAGTGAGGGAACCAGTATTTGGCATCGTCATCTCCACCAACCATTCACACACACACACCAGACTCCTTCTAATGTGGGTGAAGTGTCTTGCTTAAGGACACAACAACATTCCATCCCTTTACAGCCACTGTGGCACCTGGGGTTCCCAGAGGTCTCCCATCACCAGGCCCTGCCCTGCTTAGCTTCAAAGATCTAACGATATCTGGCTTTAACATGAGGTTGTGGCCATATAATTGTACATTTTAGAATTCATGTTGAATTCTAACATTACTTTGGTCGAAGTGCACAAATCCAACCAGGAAGTGAAATTTTTAACTTTCTCACAATTAAAACCAAGTTTCAGTGAAATAAAATAACCAGTCTAATGGCCTTTGACAAACACATTTCCGATATGAGATAAGATTATGTTGGATTAGATTACAGTCCTTTGTTTCATGGTGCACTAGAAAAGAGTGGTTCTTACCTCACAGCTGTCGCTCTTAGAGTCTGGTGTCGAGACTTCAATAACAAGTATTTTCTGCATTCACAGCCCTTCATTTGCATCACAGTGTCAGCCTGTCTCACTTCTGGCTTGTTTTGGCATTTGCAAGACAAATTCTTGGATGTTGATCTTAATCCTATAAGACGTCCTATAAAACAACTGAGTTAACTCTTGTGCTTTTACGACTCCCTTCATCCAAATACTGTCGTGAGGTCAGGTCTGCAGAGTTCCTCAGTCTTCGTTTGTTTTAATTGTATTTCAAACTTATATTTTTAATAAATCATAACAAAACAAACAAGATACAGACGTTCAATTGAAAAATACAGTTAGAAAAAGATGCATCTTGAGCACAACTCCCCTCATTCACACAGACACACACAGACACACACACGCAAGCATGGACGCTCACATACACACGCTCCATGCAGCTGCACATTGAAGAAAGACACATCTCCCACTTTTACACATTGCTACATAGTAGCCAAGTGCAAAGAGGAAGAGAAACGAAAACTTAACTCTGATCTTGAAGTGGTTGTTGAAGTCGGTATTAGCGCCACCAGCTGGACTGAGCGTGGCACTACAGCGCATTTGGGCTGGCACGGTTCAAAAAATAAATCCTTGTGAAGGCTGGACGTTTTCACACCACAGTGGATTTCCGCTTCAAAACATAGATCTCAATCACGGCACGTAAGTATGCAGGGCCGGTGTTCTGTCGAGTTGAGCTCCCTCGGCTGTTTATGATGTAATGCAAACCTGCGCATGCGCGTTTCACGGCAGCCGAAGCAGTCCAAGATGGCGGACATAAAGTCCGTGAGTTGTTTAAAAAGTTTAAATACGAACGAATTAAGACACAAATGTCCCTTTTAATGCAATTTGAGGTGAGATGTTGATGGTTCCATGTTGTGATATGTGGGTTTTAACCTCTTAACATCCACCCGCCCGCCGGTGAGCAAGTTCTACTTACTCATAGATCAAAAAGCTTGAAAGTGGGCGTGGCTCAGATATTTTTCACAATAAAAGGCCTCTGCCTCTGCGGGATGTCCAAAGTTTGAAATACAGACACATTTCACGTAGTGTTTCTGAGGAAGGATTGCTATTAAATATTAGGGATGTACCGAATCCAGGATTCGGGTTCGGATTCGGCTGAATATTGGCTTTTTTGACGGGGTTCGGTTTCTGGCCTAACCTTAGAATTTTTCCCCACCGAACCCAAACCCTGCACTTACACTATGCGCGCTGTGGCTGTTGGATTCGTCACGGAAATCAGATTCGTTCGGAAGTGTAAATAAACATGCACTTTAGAGGGTGGTTTATATCCTCTTGCTCTCTGTTCCTCTTTGGGTGCGCTGAGGTCTCTTCCTGGTCATGTGATCCCCGCGGTCCAATTAGCTCTAGTCATATGCCGGTGCGAGGGGATGTTCTGATTCTTGTTTTCACCTGTAATGCGGTTCTGATGGGATCATAAACTAACTTCCTATTCACCAACTTTATGGAGCTGATTACCAGTGCCAGGTACTTATGCATGTATGGTGCTTTAGCTCTTATTTCTACATGACATGCACAGTAATATATGTACTTTATCACTGAAGTACACTGCTGTGAACTGAATGTATTTGTGTTCAATGATAAGCGGGATTATTATAAATGTTATAATAATAGATTCTGGTCGAGCTACATGTCCAATTTGCAATGCCGATTTGTCTCGTGGTGGTAAGGACCCTAAACAGTACACAACACCGCCACTGTTAAAACATTTGCATATGAAACATCAATGGACTGAGGATGGAATAGGATTCGGTATTCAGGTTCGGATTCGGCAGAATCTTAACCAGTGGATTCGGTATTCGGCCGAACCCCAAAAACCTGGATTCGGTACATCCCTAGTATAAATGCACCTGCTCTTTGATAGTCTCAGGGTACTGTTTAAAGCGCAGAGAGAACCATGAAGACAAAGGAACACACCAGGCAGGTCCGAGATACTGTTGTCAGATTCAGATTCAGATTCATTTTATTAGCCATGTGCAGTATAAAAACTACATTGGAATACATTTGCAAAAAAAGGTACTCTGTGTGCACCGACAGAATAAAAAGCACGATACAATGTAATATAAAATACACATACACTGAATATAAAAGAATAAAGAAAACGATACAACGGGTAAAAGCAGGAATTAAAGTGCTCTGTTTAGGCACCTAACAGCTTGTGGAAAGAAGCTGTTAGCATAGCGAGATGTCTTGCATCTCAGCGACCGATATATTCTGCCAGAGGGAAGAAGCTGGAACATGGCTTTCCCAGGGTGGCCAGAAGAGTCATTGATTATTTTAAGAGCTTTGTTTAAAAGTCTGGATTTATAAAGAACCTCCAGAACAGGAAGCTCACAGCCCACGGTCCTCTTTGCAGAGCGGAGCACCTTGTTTAAAGCTCTCTTTTCTTTATCTGTGCTGTTTCCAAACCACACAGACACAGAACCAACAAGTAAACTCTCAATGGTGCAGCAATAAAAGTTAAGCACAATCTTAGAGTTAGTGGTAAATTCTCAAAGTTTCCGCAAAAAGAAGAGCCGCTGACGTACTTTCTTAACAACCCGGTTAGTATTTTTGTCCCATTTCAGGTCGTTAGACAGAGTTAAACCCAGGAACTTGCACTCCTCTACGATCTGCACCTGGGAGTTGTCGATAACTACAGGAGTGTGAGAACTGCTACGACTGAAGTCAAAGACAAGTTCACATGTTTTTGCAGTGTTCAGCTGGAGATTGTTTACTTTACTCCACTGAAAAACATGTTCGATCTCTGTGTGACAGCCAGGGGGTTATATGTAACTTGATTATTTCTCATTAAATAATATGGAATACTCCTGACAAAACAAACCAGCAACGCCACTTCAGGAGTTACACCTGAAGAATTTTGAAAGCACACAGGGTCAATTTTACTGAGAAGCAGAGACGGTTTAGTCAATCTAACAATGTTTATTTACACTGGGCTGCTCAAGAACAATTTTTATTTCATATATATCCTTTTTTAAAAATGGCTACTATAAAATTTACAGCACACACACGCACACCCACGAATACACACACGCACACACACACTCAAGAGCACGCACACACACACGCACGCACACAAGAGCACACACACACGCACACCGGGAGTGTATAGGAGCTGGGATGTTCACCGTGGACTGAATGGGGCTGGGCTGGGAGTCACCAAATAAAAAGCACAGACACACACACAGCAAATAATAAGAAAGTGCACTGCAAACCAAACGGGTGATCACCCCTGTGGCGCACACCTCCACCGTCCCAGACTGGATAACAGCTCCTACGACACAAAAACAATATTTACAATTCACATTGGCGTATGGTGTAAACGTCCGACTTATACACAGTTCAAATTGTCCTTCATGTCCTGTGAAAAGGAATTAAGCGTGAAGCGTCACTGAGCATTGAAATACTCTTCCATAAAGTCTGTGTTCCAGGGTAGTCACTGGCAGGCAACAAGGGGAAAAACACCCGACGAGTTACGGCCACATGCGTGCCGGAGGGCACCAAGACGTGGCTGACGACAGTGAGGACGCCGCTGACCCCAGACGGCTGTCCTCCCTCCGGCAGACGAGACAGGCACAAAACGAGCAATAGCGGACCAAAATTAAACTTTCAGTAGCAAGCAACATAAGGGCAAAACAGCAGCATCTGAAGGAAAGGGGGGGAGGCTCATTACTGTGAAATGTGGTGCTCCTACACCGCAACCAGACATTGCTTACCACTTTAAGCTGAAGTGCAGCTCTTCCAAGAGGGAGAGGCGCAGCCAGAGAGCTACACCCGTTGCCTAGCAACGACAGAAGCTAAGTCAACATGCTAAGCAGACCACAGAGCTCAAAAAGGGGAGAGTAGCCTTACCGATTACAGCGTAAGGGGAGACGTGGGTCCGCGTGTACCTGCGCCACTGTCCGTGCTAGAACACAGTGCCCCATTAGCAACTAAAGGCTACATTTGAAATACATTGAGGAGCGGCGCCATGCTTACCGGCCGTAAGGCAGAGGAACACGGAAATGACGTGCAGCGTTGCGAGCGGCTACGTGAGGTCAAAGGGGGAGGCAGCAAAGGCAAGACACTTTTATGGGTCGCCGGCCAGCGCTAGGGACCAATGAGAACCCCGGCCCTCGATAGATAGCCCGCCTCCTGGGCATACTGCCACATCCGTCCCCCCCGTTTTTCATCGGCGGCCCGTCGATGACTCAACTGCTCCAGGCAAGAAACCTATGATGTTCCTAAAGACTGTCTCGGTCCAGCTGATCTTGGGAGGTTATGTGGATTTAGGTGCTGGCCAGCTGTCGACCGGGCGGATCTACCTAACTGTGGCTCGTCTGGACCGAAAACTGTAGTGGACACAATTGATGGCAAATGCGCAGAACTGGGAGGAACTACTGATGGGGGCTCGCATGGTCCCAGCACAGGGCGAGAAGGTCTTAGAGAGGAGGGCTGGGGAACCGCCGCCGGCCAACCCGATGGGGAGGCAGTGGCTGGGGAATAGGGCTGTCTCAGAAATAAATCACCCTCCATCAGAGGTTCCTCCTCACGGGGTGGCATGGTTGGTGCTGTAGGAGGGCTCGAGACAGGAACTGACTCAGTTGATTCAGTACTGATCAAGGCCTTCAGCAAAGACCTGTGCACCCTCTTGACCTTTGCCTGTTGGTCCACTGGAGCCACGATGTACACTGCGCAATCATCCGGTGGAGCTTCAACGATCACATAAGTCGCCGGACACCACAGGTCGGTTATCTTATGGCGGCCCTTTTCCCCAAGATTCCGCAGTAGCACGAGCTGACCCTTCCTAAGAGGTGCCTCTCGCACATGCTGGTCGTAGTTAGCTTTTCTACGCGCTGCAGCCACCCGCAATCTTTCCTGTGCCCCATCAAAGGCCACCTGTAGCCGAGCCCGATGCTCTCGCACCCACTCATGGACACTTCCTGCCACCGGGTCTGGTACTTGTCCCAGCAAAAAGTCAATTGGCAATCGAGGCTCTTGTCCAAACATCAAATAAAAAGGCGACTCACCAGTCGACTGATGAGGTGTGGTGTTATACGCATAGAGCACCTGCGGCAAGCAGGAACCCCAGTCCCTCTTTCGGGATGGAGGCAAAGCACGAAGCAAATTGTGAAGCGTTCTGTTGAACCGCTCACACTGACCATTACCGGCAGGGTGATAGGGAGTTGTGCGTGACTTCACGATTCCATATAAGCTACAGAGCTGCTGAATCAGCGCACTCTCAAAGTTACGTCCCTGGTCGGAATGGATGCGCGCAGGGACGCCAAACTTTGCAAACCACTCCGAAACTAGAACCTGAGCCACTGTGGAGGCCAGCTGATTGCGAGTTGGAATAGCCAGAGTGTATTTGCTGAAAACGTCAGTCATCACCAGGACGTTCTCTTGACCGGAGGGAGTAGGCTCAAGCAAGGAGAAGTCAACCGCGAGAATTTCATTAGGCTTTGATGCCAGCAAGTGGCCTAGGAATGCGGGTGCAGTTGGGTTGTTATGCTTACTGAACTGACACCGATCGCAGGCCTGACACCACTGCATAACCTCGCGGGACATACTCGGCCAATAGCAACGAGTGCGTAGCAAGGCCAAAGTCCTTTCAACTCCTTGGTGCCCATGTTCCTGGTGAACCTGGGTAAGGACATCCTTAACCAAAGCCCTGGGCAGTAGGACTTGATGCATAACCCCTCCACCATCTGATCGAAACGCCTGCCGATACAGCAATTTGCCCAGCTCGACCAGGCGATCCCACTGGCCAAGCAGGACAAGCGCCGGTGGAGATAGCGCTTGACGCTCCTCCCGGTTGGGCTTCCGACCTTGTTGCCAAAACGTCCAGATTTCCTGTATGACAGGGTCAGTCTGCTGCAACGTTTGGAGGTCAGCAGGAGGCAGGTCAGGGAAGACAGTCATCACTGACTGCGTTGCCTCAACCGTAGTCTCTTGAGCAGCTGCCTGCAGGACTATGGATAGTGGGGTGCCTGGAGCTGCAAAGGCCCCTTCCTGGGAAATTGGCCATGGTTGACGGGACAACGCGTCAGCATTCCTATTAGCCTTCCCTGACCGGTATTTTAGTTCAAAATCAAAACAGGCCAACTGGGATACCCAGCGCTGCTCAACTGCCCCGAGTTTGGCAGTCGCCAAATAACTCAAGGGGTTGTTGTCAGTGAAGACAACGCACCTCTGACCCAACAGGTACTCCCTAAACTTGTCAGTCATGGCCCACTTGAGCGCCAATAGTTCAAGTTTCATTGAACTGTAATTGGACATATTGCGCTCGGGGGGTCTTAGTCCACGACTGGCATAGGCAACAGGTCTCAACTTGCCACCCTGCTCTTGTGAGAGTACCGCGCCCAGATCCACATGACTGGCGTCTACCTCCAATACAAAGGGCAGTGAGAAGTCTGCATATGCAAGCACCGGGGCACTGGTAAGCCTGGCCTTCAATGCATCAAAACTTATTTGGCACTCATCATCCCAGAACTCTGCACATACCTGAGGTTTCTTTTTGTGCTTCCCAGAATGCTCAGCTACTCGACGGTGCAACGGGGCAGCCATTTTGGCGAACCCATCCACGAACCGTCGATAATAACTAGCAAACCCCAAGAATGAGCGAAGCTCAGAGACATTGGTGGGGGTTGGCCAACTGACAACAGCGTCAATTTTCCCAGGGTCTGGGGACACGCCCTCAGCGGAGATTACGTGCCCCAAGTAACTGACCTGGCGCTGGAAAAAACTGCACTTAGCCAGTTTGACTTTAAGCCCGTCATTGTGCAGCCGACCCAACACCTTGTCCAGCCGCCCCAAATGCTGCTCCACACTAGACGAAAACACAACAATGTCATCTAGGTAGAGGAGCAATGACTGCCCCTGTTGGTCACCAAATATTCTCTGCATTAATCTTTGGAAGGTGCTGGGCGCATTGCACAGCCCAAATGGCATGCGGTTCCACTCAAAGAGCCCGAATGGCGTGCAAAATGCGGTTTTGGGCCGGTCTGCCTCTGTCACAGGTACCTGATTATAACCACTGGCCAGGTCCATGGTTGAAAACCAGCGAGCCCCACTCAAAGAGTCGAGGGACTCTTCAATCCGCGGGAGGGGAAACGCATCCTTACGGGTTTTAGCATTGAGCTGACGATAATCAACGCAGAGACGCAACTTGCCATCTTTCTTGCGGACTAATACAATTGGGGAGGCATAAGGGCTTGATGATCTGTGCCTCCAGGAGCTGGTTAATGTGCTCCTTTACCAATTCATATTCGGATGGCGGGATACGACGGTATCGTTGCCGAACCGGAACGTCATCGAGCAGAGGGATGTCGTGCGCGATCAGGTTGGTACAACCCAGATCCTGATCGTGGGCAGCAAAAACAGACCGATGCTCCCTCAACAAGAACTGCACCTGTTCCTGCTCCACAGAGGACAGGGCAGACAAGTCTATGGCTGCAATTGGATCTAGGTCGGCGGGTACAACGGCCTGTGACGAAACCGTAGCAGAGACAGAGGTCACTTCAGTCACACCTGCTGGGAGACTAACCACATTCACATCATCCAAGGTGCCCACCAACGTACGGGGATAAAGAAGCACATCATTATCCCCAACATTGACAATAGGAACATATGCAGTTCCTCGGACCACCTGAACCATTGCAGGAGAGGCCATCAATCCTGCTGGCAGGGCTAAGGGTTCAAAAAGAACGGTGGTACCGGAATACTGCTCTGAACAAGTTGCTGGGATGACCCTAATCGCTCCTGCGGGAATACGGACTGCCCATTTGCCCCGCATCCTGACCTTGCCTGGTTCTGCTCTCAGGGGTTTTGCCTCGGCAGCATGGCACTGCTGAAGGGCGTCCACCAATGGAGCCGGAGATGCTGTTACAGGAGGTGTATTAAACATAGCAACCCCATATTGCCCAAACAATTCTTGATAGCATCTATGGAGGACATTCATCCCCAGGACACCGGGGACCTGAGACGAAACACTGCGGGGAGGGTCTTTAACGACCAGAACGCCACACTGGGGAAGTACTTTCCCGCAGAGCTCAATAGTCAACTCCAGATAACCAATGTATGGGATAGTTAACCCGTTGGCGGCTCTCAGCTGCAGCCAATGACAAGCCTTCAGCTGTTCTTCGCCCCACGGTTCACAGTGTTGGTGGAAAAAGCTCTTTGAGATCGTGGAAACCATCGACCCTGTATCCACTAAGCATTTTACCGTAACACCCGCCATGTGCGCATCAATGTGGGGACAAGACGCAATCAAGTTAGGGACATTTGATAGTCCCTTGGAGGTATTTGAGGAGCCAAAAGGTAGCCCCCCCGTGCTGTGGCTCTGGAGCGCGGTGGGCATTAGTTTCCCGACATCTGACTAGGGTGTGTTGACACAGATGCAGGTGGATGGCGGGAAACTCGAGGGCCATCGCAGTCTCTAGCGTAGTGACCAGGCTGCTGGCACCGTTGACAAATGATGGGACCTCGTCGGGGTGAACGGCTGCGCTGCGGCACTGATGTTTGCAAGAGAGTAATACTTTGGGTGAGAAGGGTTAGTTGTTCCTGCTGCTTTTTCAGCAGCTCCTTCATCTCGCCTAATTCTGCCCGTGTGGGAGGGCTCTCCACCCGTGGGTCACTACGCATTGAGTATTGAATCCCTAGGGCAGAAGGCACAGAGTTACTCCGACCCCGCACACTAGCCGGCAACCCTTCCAGTTCCCACCTCATTGCCTCCCCCCTGACCTCAAGCATAGTGGCCCGCGGATGCTGACGCGCAAACCGTTTTAAATCTCGACGCAAAGAGCCATTTAGTACATGTTCTATGAATTGGTCGCGCAAAAGGGCTTCGGCATTAGGAATCTCCCCAGGTGCCTGCTGCTTTACTCTCTCCATGAGACTGAGCAAGGCCAGGGAGAACTCCAACAAGGTCTCCCCGTCTTGCTGTCTCCTAGAGAAGAAAGCCTCCTGCATTGCGACGTACGATTCAGTGCATCCATAAAGCTCCTCAAGAATAGAAATTATTTTGAGGGGGTCTCCTCGCTCAGTGCTAGAGCGGTACCTAATCTCTTCCCGCGCCTCTCCCTCCAAGTGGTCAACCAAAAAGAATGCCTGTTCCGCAGGTGACAGATGTCGAGCCCTCATGCAGGCCTGCGCCTCCTCCACCCACTCGCCCACATTGATCCCGGTTCTGCCCCTGAACATAGGACATTTACGGTCCCTTGGTACAAAAACTAACCTTTCAGTGATTGGGGCGATAGGTGGCGCAGGAGTGACTGTCTCTGCAGAGGTCCCAGCAATGGAGCGGGCTGCGGCAGGTTCTCGCTCTGCACGCAACCTTGTATTATCAGCTTGTAATTGAGCAATCAGTTCTTTTAGCTGTTGTAGCTCCTCCTCCATGGCTGCAAAGAAGATCTTTTGGAACGAATTAGTCAGTGATTGCTGCTGTTTTGCCCCTCCGATGAAACCCACAAACAAAAATATATATATCGTTACTTGAACAGTAAAATTGCAGTAAAAATCAACCAAACAAGTCTCCACCTCACAACAGTAAATCCTGCCAGCGGACGCCAAATGTGACAGCCAGGGGGTTATATGTAACTTGATTATTTCTCATTAAATAATTTGGAATACTCCTGACAAAACAAACCAGCAACGCCACTTCAGGAGTTACACCCGAAGAATTTTGAAAGCACACAGGGTCGATTTTACTGAGAGGCAGAGACGGTTTAGTCAATCTAACAATGTTTATTTACACTGGGCTGCTCAAGAACAATTTTTATTTCATATAAATCCTTTTAAAAATGGCTCCTATAAAATTTACAGCACACACACGCACACCCACGAATACACACACGCACACACACACTCAAGAGCACGCACACACACACGCACGCACACAAGAGCACACACACACGCACACCGGGAGTGTATAGGAGCTGGGCTGTTCACCGTGGACTGAATGGGGCTGGCTGGGAGTCACCAAATAAAAAGCACAGACACACACACAGCAAATAATAAGAAAGTGCACTGCAAACCAAACGGGTGATCACCCCTGTGGCGCACACCTCCACCGCCCCAGACTGGATAACAGCTCCTACGACACAAAAACAATATTTACAATTCACATTGGCGTATGGTGTAAACGTCCGACTTATACACAGTTCAAATTGTCCTTCATGTCCTGTGAAAAGGAATTAAGCGTGAAGCGTCACAGAGCAACGTCACTGAGCATTGAAATACTCTTCCATAAAGTCCGTGTTCCAGGGTAGTCACTGGCAGGCAACAAGGGGAAAAACACCCGACGAGTTACGGCCACATGCGTGCCGTAGGGCACCAAGACGTGGCTGACGACAGTGAGGACGCCGCTGACCCCAGACGGCTGTCCTCCCTCCGGCAGACGAGACAGGCACGAAACGAGCAATAGCGGACCAAAATTAAACTTTCAGTAGCAAGCAACATAAGGGCAAAACAGCAGCATCTGAAGGAATGGGGGGAGGCTCATTACTGTGAAATGTGGTGCTCCTACACCGCAACCAGACATTGCTTACCACTTTAAGCTGAAGTGCAGCTCTTCCAAGAGGGAGAGGCGCAGCCAGAGAGCACTACACCCGTTGCCTAGCAACGACAGAAGCTAAGTCAACATGCTAAGCAGACCACAGAGCTCAAAAAGGGGAGAGTAGCCTTACCGATAGTCATTGCTCACGTCCATGTTCAGTGGCCAGAGCTCTGGTGTTGTGCCGTCTTCTCAGTCTGGTGCACACTGGGGTTGTCTTGCACATTTTTTTTCCAAAGGTTTTTACTTGCAAATGGCAACTAAATGAATCTGAAACTGATTGTATTACCAGTCTGACTAATGGATTTTTAATGTATTTATTATCATGAAAAAGCTACATGAAAATGTTTGCATTCCCGATGTGCAGACCCCACTGTATCATTATAAAAAACAGTTATGTGGATTTATATGTTTTTATTTGTGCAGGAGCCTGAGGCCATTTGTGTTAGCCGTCCAGCCTTAAAACTTCAGAGGCCCCGCAAGACCATTTACTGTACCCGGCCTTCTGAAGTTATTAAGTTTCAAAGTCTGGTGTCCCTATTGGCTATGTCTGTTTTGCTTTAAGTCCTAGCTCGTCAATATTTCCTCCTGCCTTCTGGAACCTGGAAACACGCTGTGGTTCATAATTTTGATGACCTGGTCCCTTCCTGCTGTATCAGCCTTCTCAGCTATGTGTGTTGTTTCAAAAGTCTTGCAGAATTGCATATTCTACATAGTTAAATGGCCAAAGTCAAACATAAAGAGCCCTGAAGACAAGTGAGTGTGAGTCTGTCCACATAGACATGCTAACACCGAGTAACAAGTATTTCAGCCCGAAACTCCGCTTAATGGACGCATTGTGGCTTTGTCCACTGAACATGTGCAGCCCTAATGTTTTTTCTTGCTGCACAGTTCGTTGCCCTACTGCATCGAAGGATGAGTCAAATGCAGAGAACAAATTTCCAATCACAAGAAAGAACACCTTAACTGAGTCCTTTGTCCCTCAATCCAAATCAGACCCTGTTATTTATGAACAGTGCTATACAGCGAGTTTGATTGCTTTGTTGCTTACAATCAAGGCTCAGGTCAACATCTTTAATGTGGGATTAAAACAGATTCCAGATCAGCTTTTTGTGCTAAGGTCCCCTTTTAAGGGTGACGAAGCTCTGGTACAGAACTCAGAAAAAAACGACTGTTATGGGCCTTTCAAGAATGAAGTGAAAGAGTCTCTAAACTACAGCTAGGAAGTAAAATAAGGTAAAACACAAACAGCTCTGGGCATGTGTATGAAGGCCAAATATAACTGTAATCTTTCGTTTAAACCAGAGAAAAGTAATTTAATATAATGGAACTACAAATTGGCACCTACCTAGGTTACCAGAAAAAAAACATCCTCAGATTCAAAACCCCCAATTTTGAAAAAATCTACAATCCACGCTCCTGGTAACCGTCCTTGACTGCACCCTGTGACTTGAGGGCTGCACTCAACTCCCCGCCTGGGAGCCTCTTCCTGCACCGCACAGCCCGTCAGTCCTGGAAGCCACAACCTGACTCCTGTTCACAGGCCTGGTCAGACCATGGGCGTGGATCTCTCTCTCCTGAGGTTTCTCACATCTTTTCCCCACACCTTTTTTTTGAGTGGATCCGTGCTGATCAAGTACAGTGATTATCTGGAGCATTTAGAGACCTCTATGGACATTTATAACATCTATGTGCATTTATCCTGCTCCTATTGCCCGATGTGGTTTTTATATAATTGCATTTCCTGTGTGTTTTTAAAGTTTTTGCGACAACTGCTGCTGTGATAATTAAGGCTATAATACAATTTATATGTAATTGAACTGAATTCAATTTGGAAGACCGAGAAAACAAAAGCTTTTGAGTATTTTATTGGAGAGGTTTGGCGCCCCTAGGCCCCGTGTCGGCCGTCAGTTCGGAAGAGAGCTCTGCGATGGAGCGCGCCAATCCCCCGGTACCTAAGGCACTGGTGCAGGCATTAGGCTGCGGGAAACAGAATGAAGGCAGATTGGAGCAGGTGAAAGGAGAGGAGGGGAAGGCGGTGGCTGGCAAGGCTTCGAGAAGGCCGAGAAGTGGAGTTTCTCCGCTTTTAAGCGGCTGCTGGCCGGTGCGGTGATTGGAAAGGGGCGTTTGCAGTGCGATAGCGGGGGAGGGTGAACCGCCTGAGGGTTAACATTGGCAGACGTCTACCAAATTGAATTTTCCGCGGCTGCATTTCAAATTGGAGAGACAGAGAAACAAAAGCTTTTGAGTATTTTATTGGAGGTTTGGGGCCACTAGGCCCTCGGTGCGGCCTTCAGATCGGAGAGGCTCCTGTGCAAGGAGCGCGCCAATCCCCAAAAAGGCTGTGAGTTGATGGAGTTTTGCAGCCTGTTGGAGGAACAGAACTCGAGACGCTCTATGCTGTGACCCGCTATCGCAATATACTGTACCGCTATCGCTATATACTGTGACCGCAATCGCTAATACTGTGACCGCTATCACTATTATACCTGTACCGCCTAAGAACTGTGACCAAGAACTTGCGGATACTCAGCCCGCTGCCGCCACCAGGAAGTTCAAGTGTTTAAAGGGAGATGCAAAGTAGTGCTCTGGGCTGCCAGAATGTCGTAGTGTCAGGCCTGATGTAGAGGGAGGGCCGATGATGAACCCAGCGGCCCAGCTGCTGGAGGGCGGAATGGGGGACCCCAAGGACGCGCGCGCGTGGCGCGCCTATCCAGAGGAAGTGGGCTGTGTAGAGATGGGAGACTGGTTACATAAGCAGCATTACGGAACTGAGTTGGCTCTGAACAGTTGGAGGACATCGTGAGGTTATCGGGGTAAGAAATAACGGTCCGGTGAGCTCTCCTTTCCGAGAGCGTAGGCGAGTGTAATGCGTCATGGATCTGAAGGGACAGGGAGAAGTGTCAGACCGAGCTATAACTATATTACGTAGCGCCTTGGCGTTTGGAATGGCTATGAGGTGAGTTAAGTATCGGGATAGTAAGCACGGTCGGAATAAGCAATGTCAGTGGGCTGCCTTGAAGGTGTGTGTGGGTTAGTGAAATTCGCTTAAGCGTAAGAAGCCCAATTTCATAGGAGGGATGCAGCGGAGGAAGAAGGGGAAGAGACGGAGGGACAGGCCGGGAGGGATTCCGTGCAGGGATCTGGCATGGCGATGGATTGGCAGAAGGGCAGAGGCGTCAGAACCCTGGAATTTAAAGCGAGAGAGAGAAGTCAGCAAGACAGTTAGGTGACAGGGACGTGACGTAGCAGTGATGATAAATTGTTCGGGACTGAAGCGTGTGATGCCGTCTAAGAGGAGTGATTATGGGAGAGGAATCAACACCTTTGTAATTATTTCAATGAGTCAGGTTGTCGTCACATCACGGAAATCCTTTTCCTATGCCACGTATGGTTTTCCGCAGCACAGCAGGCTACGGTTACGGGATATATCCTCGGGAGCGCGAGGAGATGCATTTCGAGGGAAAAGCGTCGGGCCGGGGCCCGGCGAACCACTGGTCCGGGAAAAACCCCAAAACCCACGGACGGGGCTGCGTCCGTGAAGAACCGCCGGGGCATCTGAGACAGGATGACGTCACTGTAAAAAAAAAAGAGAGATACACCATCCCAGGCTCTGCAGACCGGGACCGGAACGCCAGGTCGGAGCGGCGCCCCGCGTGTGGGCAGACAGCGTCAATTGAGGGAGAGACGAGCCGGCCCCGGGGGGGGAAAAAAAGGGAGAGGAGTCTGGAATTAACAGAACGACCATGGAATGATACGGACGAGCAGTAATCAAGATGCCCGCGAGGAGGGAAGGCAGGGACGCCTCGACGTGACGGGAAGGCCCAGCAGACCGGGAGAAAGCGCGGATGCGTTCGACTTGTCCAGCGGGAGGGAGGCCTCCATGGCGCGCGTGACGGGCTGATGCCGAGAAACTCCAGAGCGTTGGCGGGCCTGTGGGCTTTCGGAGTGGAGGAATCCGAGGGCAAGAGAAGGTGGGCCTGAGCTTGCGGAGAGATGCCCCCGGAGCAGTCTGAGGGTGGGTTTGACTACGAGGGAATCATCGGGATAGCAGGACAGAGGGGAGCCGGACAGAGAGGACGAGTATCAGACGCTTCTTCCTGGAGTGCTTGCGGGTGGCGATGCCCATCGGGTTAGAGCGGGACGGATAGAAGGGGCCAATAACGTAGCCTACCAAAGCACGACACCCTCCCCGCCGAGCCGCGTGCCGACTGGGCTGCACGAGAGCCGGGAAAGAGGTTGCGGAACACGAGACGCCGAGGAACCTAAAACAGAGCTTGCAGCTCATGTGAGGGATTTAAATAGAAGCTTCAGTCCAAAGTGAGGTATTTAAAAACTGAGCCCGCAGTCCCAAGTGATGCGTTTAAACTGAGAGCCTCAGTCCGTGTGGGGAGTTAAACGACCTGTAGTCCGAGGTGAGGGAATAACTGAGAGCTTGTAGTCGCAGAGTGAGGGATTCATATTGCCCGCCGTTCCTAAAAGAGGGATTTATACACTGAGAGCTTTGTAGTCAAGTGAGGGAATAAACCGAGATCTGCAGTCAGTGGTGAGGGATTTAAAACAGGTTTTACGTCCAAGTGAGGGATTAACTGAGCCCGCAGTCCAAGTGAGGAGTTTAAACTGAAAGCTATACAGTCCAGTGTGAGGATCCAACAGAGCCTGCAGTTTTTTTATTATTATATTATTATGATTATTTTTTTATTTAATTATATTATCTATATTTATATTTATTTATATTTATTTATATTTATTTATTTTTATACATAAGCGTTCCAGAATATAAGCAAACCATATATGCAGTTATCCAATATGAGCATTCCATATATAAGCAGTTTCCGAATATAAAGCCTCCATATATCTGTCACGGTGTGGATTTTGTTTATTTTGTACTTGGTTTATTTTGCATTTTTTCTCTGTGGTTTGGTTTTGAGTTTGACTGTCGGTGCGCCGCTGGGGAACGATGAACGATGAACCGCTGACCTCTCAACCTGTTTCGGAACGCCGCTGGGGAACGATGAACCACGGAGCGTGGATATGGTCCGGGGCGCCTGCCGGGCGAGCGCTCCCTGCCTCTGTCTCGGCTCCGCACTGGTGGGCGGGCCTCGCGTCCCGCAGCTAGATGCTGGGCTAGGCTAGCAGAGTC